ATCTTTAGCAATCAGAAAAGATGGCACGTTTAATGCAGATGCAGTCTTCTGGTATTTGCGTCTCTCAAAAAATAAACTGAGAAGTGTCTATTCAGGTCCTTGGCCCATTTTTAATTGAGTTGTTTGTTTGGTGTTGAATTTTGTAAGTTCTTTATACATTTTGGACATTAACCCCTTATGAGGTGTATCACTGCTGAATATGTTCTCCCATACAGTGGGTTGCCTTTTCATTTTGTTGGTGGTTTCCGTTGCTGTGCAAAAGCTTTTTAGTTTGATGTAGTCTCACCTCTTTATTTTTTCTCTTATTTCCCTTGCCTGAGGTGATATATAAAAAATGGGCAAAGGACCTGACTAGACATTTCTCCATAGAGGACATACAGACGGCCGATAAACATGAAAAGGTGCTCAGTGTCCCTAATCATCAGAGAAATCTGAAGTAGGTCTTATCAATAGGCCTCTTGGCTTCTGTCACTGGTTCAGGGATAGATATGTGATTCATCCTTGGCCAGTTAAAGCCATGGACATCCGATTCCGGGACTTCAGTTGTAAATAAAAGCTTTCATTTGTCTCTGAAACTAGGAAGAGGTAAGACTAGAGCTTCAAGGGGCCAACTTTCCAAGCAAAAGGACCCTCCACCTGAGAATGACACTAATAGAGAAAAACGAAGCCAAGGGACAGGTTAAGTCTGGTAAACTCTTTTGAGCCAAGGAAGTCAAACTGCGACTAGCCCTACCTGAGGACTTTTCAGGTTCATAAGTCATTGAATTCTCTCTCTCCCTCTCTCTCTTTTTTTGGTTGATACTTCAGGAGTCTGAAACAATATGCTCTCAATTTGTATAAGACAATGAACTCAATGGGAGGACTATCAGTTTCTGATGATCCTTATAGTCTTTAAGATACTGAGCTCAACATCTTGCAAACATTAGCTCCTCAAAAATGCTTTTGAGCGAAAGAATGGGTAATAAACAAACGGAAACAAACTCACAGAGGACCCGGACGTCATACTGAAGGGAATCTTCTCCAGCCTCATTCACAGCCACACACGTGTATCTCCCGGCATCCTCTACCTTAGCCCGGGGAATCTGCAGCACTCTCCCACCTGGAAATATATCCTCATGTGCTTACTGCTGTCAGTCTTAGAGCGAATGCTGCTCATGAGCAGGTACGATTTTTCAGGTCAAATAACTTCCTTGCATTTTCTTGCCAGGTTCCATTTTAATGCCCACATATCACTTTCATCACAAACACTGAATTATTGAAAAGTGAGCCCGTATATGAGTGAGACCTCCTGAGAAATGAATAGCTTGTGTGGATTTTCCTTAAGGCAGGAATGTTGCTCTGCGCCCCTCATCATGTTCCATGTGAAATGTTACTCTGTAGTAACTTCCTGCTTTATGGTTGGAACACACATAAAGAAGTTTACACGGCTGCATGCAAGTAGAGGTTTCAGAAAAATAACAGCCAATGGTGCAAAAGGCATACAGTACACCATTATGCATACAATCTTGAAAGAATAACCGTGCATTAATTTTTCATGTTGATATGATTTCCAACATAGAGAAAAGTTATAATAATTGTATATAAATTGTTACAATTATGTATATTTTATTCCACTGGTTTTATCATAT